AAGTAGTTTAAACAGAGTGCTGTGCTGTTTGAATGTATAAACTGAACGCCAAGAGAAATCACTAGTTAGATTTTTTCCGTGAATAAAATAAATATGTCAGGCAGGAGCGTCTCAGGATCTGTCTGAGATCTAACTCGGTGAGACAGATAATAGCATCCAAAGTGCTTTTTATGTGTGATCTGACAATTGATCAACCATTGCTTAAAAATTAAATACAGCTTAGCTGGTTAATTGCTGTGATCATAAAACACGTAAACGGCAGCACGCAGAACTCACGAGGCAACGTTTTACGTGATGTTTACTTGTTGCTATGAGTAATAAGACAGAAAAAGCCACGCCAAAATAAGTTTAGGAAGCCCACTAAGAATCGTAATAAAAGCATTTAAAATAAACACCACACACAGTTGAGGAAACGTTGGTTTAAGTACCTGATATGAAGCGAAAACCTTTACTGTCGGGATCCCACAGCTTCATTTTAGCCCGGTCACTAGCGCGTTTTATTACAATGATCCAACGTTTGCGGCGTTCCGGATCTTGGGGAATCCTGTAGATGGCTCATTCCTTATGTCGTCCGCGTCTGTTCTGCATTCTGGAGCACAACAGGAATCTACCATATTTCCCGTTTGAGTTTTCTGACAATAACAAATAGCCCAGCTGTGGGCTTCTGCCTGCCAAGATGGCCTCGTTTCGATTTGAGCTGTTTCATGCCGCGAGAAGTGACGTCAACTCCCGGAGCTCTATTGGCATTTTATGACATGTTTGGTTTACTCAAGCTAGTTTTCATCTACCAGAAAAAAGTTTTTTATTCATTTTACTTTTTTAAAAAGCAAAACTGCAACAGCCTGACATTCTTTAGCAATCTCTTCTTTCCCTCCTATAAGATAAAGTGCTGAGAAAGGGTGTTTGCCCCTGACAGATTCCTTCTGTTTTTGCTTTTTTGTCTTTTAAATCAATCAGATCATCAAACACACCCCAGTTTCAGACAAAGATTACCCGAGTGAACAAACTGTTGACTTATCAAGGCTTAAATCAATCCAAACCAGTCTGGTTGTGGCTGGAAAAAAGTAACTGACTCCATAGTTAAATCTTAAATTAACAATGATTCATCATATCTGAAGCTGAGTTCAGTTCAACAGCAAAACCTGATGCCTTCCAGAAAGAAGAAATCATTTCACTAGAACCTGTATGACAGCAGCTCAAAGGTCTCAAAAAGCAAAACATTACATTTATAGATACATTAGTATTAGTATTAGTATTAGTAATACAGGACGGTCAGTACAACACCCATTTCTGAAGTTCTTTGCACTAAACCCCTCTCACATGATGCACTTTAGCTGTTTTTTTTCATGACATTTTAGTACCTTCCAGAATGAGTCATTTCAGGGCTCTGTTGGAGCTGGCCACGCCCATCCATCCCCCACTCAGACTGCTAAAAGCTGAGAAGCTCTGACACCCGGGAGGGGTTTGGAGTAGAGCTGCGGCCTCTCCAGCAGCAGATCTCTTTGATGGATCTTTTCTAATTTCTCCATTTGTGACATCACAAATGGAGACTTTTGGAAGAGCTCATTTTAGGCACATAATCCCTACAACTAAACACTGACAGGAAACGGGTTTTATTGCATGTGGAGTGTTTATAGAGGCAGTAGAGACCCACATGGCAGCACAAAATAATTCAAAGATGAGATTTGTTCACAAAGTCCTCTTAAGGAATACAAGAACCCAGAACAACGTTTAAAGCCGTCGACCGGGTTGGTTTGGATAGCTTTGTCGCTCACTTAGCAAATGAAACCATCTCTAGAAAAATGCATTTTGTATTTGCTCAGCTTTAAGTGAAATGTGTTTGATGATGTCACACTTTAAATCTGACCAAAAGCAAAAAACAAAATAACTTTTTAACAGTGTGATAATCTTCCATCCAAAGATGCAGCAGTCAACTTCCTGTTTTTCTGTCTTCCTTCCTTCCCGCCTTTTTTCGTCCATAACACAAACGGCCTGAGCATCAGCAGCGATGAATGACATTAAATGTTAATTTATCAAAAAGGAAAGCCTCTCTGCTACAGTGACCCCCTCAGATGGGACTCAAACGGCACACACAGCCGAACATACAAGTGCATCAAAAATGAAATAATACCGTGCAAAGGGCTTAGAGGATAATCCAAGCGAGTGGAGTGTACTACATGGCCACAGGCCTTTAATTCCCTCTTCTTTTTCCAAAAGGACAAACTGTAGGCTGGGTCAGAGGATGGATGTGAATGTAAAATCAGCTTCTTTTGACCTTCTTCTGTTTTTTATCCTTTACATTGGTGAAATTTGTGTTTTCCAAATTCAGAAGGGATCAGTGTGTAATCTGCACCATCCATCTCCAACCTCTGGATATCTGTTGATTGGTTGTTTTGATGCTGATGTAAAAATCCTGCCGTGACACTTTGAGTTAGAGCTGTTGTCAGGTCATCGGAGTCCTGAGACCCTGTGGGGATGTGATCGTGATATAGAGAAGCAGCTATTCTGACAGCTAACACACCATGATCTCCTGCACACACACACACACACACACACACACACACACACACACACACACACACACACACACACGGGCTTAATGAAGTTGCTATGGCCCTGGTTAAAGGCTATTTGGTGCATGCTTTTCACTCCGAGCTGAATTCAAAACGGTTATGCCACAGTTGGCAAACAAGCAAGCCCGAGGGCCAGTGAGCGCCTCGTGCACTCACGGCATCTTCCAGTTCGGGATTTGTGAGGCATTAAATTTTTGTGGCTTTTGCAGACATCATGCAGGTTTCGGTTTACATCAAGATTGAGCTCTCACAGAGCCGCGGGGCGCGCTGAGAGCTAAAATAGATCCAGGATGACCATCTACATCAAAGTTGGGCTTGTCTTTATAATAATAATCCAGTGCAATCCACTGAGATTACAGAATGGCTTTAGAGAGTGTGTTTACTAGCAGACAGTGACTTTTCAAGCTGCAGTTTAATACTGCAATATAGTAAAGAAAAAGAAAAATCTTATTTTTCTGTTGAATTGCAGACACCAAAAGCCATTTTCTATTATTTTTTGTCCAGAATAATTTTTGCACTCAACCTGAAGCCATGAAAATGTAAATATTTCTGCAAAAGAAGTAGCATTCCTGCAGAGAATGCACGTGGTGTTGCTTGCAACACAAAAAGTCTGCTCGTTATTCTGTGGTCTGGGAAAAGTCTGGTATTTGCACGTTATCCTCCATCATGTGCACCAGAAGTTGTTCCCACATGGAGGATCTCCTGCTGAGGGAAGCATCCGTTCTTCCACTTTACGTCCCACGATGATCGAGCCGTGTCATTGGCTGAGGTTTTTAGACAAACGCAAGAGAACCACTTTCATAATTTCTTCTAATCGCCACAATATATTTCTATGTTGGAATGTTGTTAAGAGGCATGAAAAAATGTTTTGGGCTCATTTATTTTCCAAATTTGCCAAAACAGATTTAATCCTAATGTAACTGCTTCAGGGGCGGCGTTAGGCCCGGCTACTTGGGCTGAAGCCCCGGATCTTTCATGGAAAGCCCCGGATCTAAATCGCGGAAGTAACATGCAGTACCAAAGTCAAACAGAGAGGGCGCAGCTGGCAGTAGTTTGTATACAGCCTGCCTGAGCCTCCACCACTGAAGAAGAAGCCCTTCAGCAGCCGGCTTCTTCTACACTCTGCCTGAAACGCATGAGTGAAGATGGACATGAGGACGTTTTTTAGACCAAAAGTACAACGACAGAACCCCAGCTTTGATGAGACTGGTGTTGACTCAGGTTTGTGAGTCTTATTTGAAAATATTTGTTGTGCTGTTGGTTTGCCTAAAGTTAGCTTACTATCAGGTAAAGTTGTTGGAGAAAGAAAGGGAATATTTACTATCATCTCACACTAAACACTAACAGGAACAATACTCTGCCCTGAATATGCTGAATATGTAGCTTCAGATTTAAAATTATGTGGTACAAGACATATATATATATGATGTTGACTAGTGCATGTCACGTGTGTGCGCGCATGCGTGTGCGCGTGTGTGTGCGCGTGTGTTAAGCCCCGGATCTTCTTCAGTCCTAAATCCGCCCCTAAACTGCTTTGAGGGGCGGAGCTTAAACGGTACTAGAAACCACCTACAGGGGGTGAATGCTTTGTTTTTGCTCCAGAACAACCGCCAGTCCTCCACTCCACCAATGACGCTCTACACGCATGACACAAGGAACCCACAGACTAACGCCCAAACCCAGTATAGAAGCGTTACTGGATTCTGTGGGAAGAAGCAGGTTCACCCAGAGATCCTCACAACTAAAGCGTGTTGAAAAAAGCTCTTAGATCTGCAATCCAAAACAGAGATTTTCTTACTATGAGGCAGCTGTCTCAACTACAACATGAGCATATCCCACTGTAACGCCTGTGTTTACCTGATAGGGCAGTAATGACTAGCCTGAGAGGGGGCCCGCCACTCTATGGGGGGCTGTTTGTATTCCTCTTGTAATTTCAGCCTCAAATTGCAAAATCAGGCTGATATTTCACCTTGAGGAATTTGTCCTTTAGCATCTGAGAACTCGGTACGACTCAGCACTTTTTCCCCCGGACTCCAGAAATCATTATCAGCCACGTCTGGGTGTTTAAGCAGCAGCCAAGCTGGCTCTTTGATTTTTCCGCCTCCACTTCGACGTCCATAACTCCCACCGATCTTCCCGGGATGGAGCAGACTCACGGTGAGAGTCACCGTGAGTCTTCGCCTAATGAAAGCGATTCTGTTTAGCTGCAGCATCACCCCAGATATTTCTATAATTTTTATTTATCACAGATTTTTTTTAACATTCATCCTGAGAAGCAGAAAAACAGTGAAAGTTAAATAAGAGAATTCTGCTGTGATCCCCTAAAGACTTGGGCTACAAAATGCTGTTAATTGATAAAGTTTGTTGGTTTTCTGTGTCGTGTGAGCGCCATGGGGGTGCAGAGCGGGGTCACAAACACACACCTACCATTCATGCCGTTATAGATGCTCCGATGATGTGGTGAAAGCTCATCTCCAGCTGGCCTCCTCTGGCCCTCTCTCACAGGGCTGCTGAACTTCCCATGGTCAGGACTCACGCTGTACTGGTGCCGGTGAGTTTCCAGACTGCCCCCCAGGACCTTGCAGCCCTTTTCGTGGTGCTCACCGAGCCCTAAATGTGCATGCCGGAGCTCCGGACTCCCGCAGCCCGTGCTGCTAATACTGCTCCTCTGGTACTTCTGATAGAGCTCCCCGCTGCCCCCTTGGCTCAGGTAGTGCTGCCTTTGGCCCAGGACCAGATCAGAACTGTGGTGCTTGGGGTGCTGTTCCGGACTGCGGTGGCCGATGTTGCGTCCATATTTCTCTGGGCTCAGCCCCCGCATGACCCTGCTGTGGTCAGGAATGGATATGGAGCCACAGCGGGGACGGCACAGCTGGGGCAGTGTGTACGGATACTCCAGGCTTGTGCTTCGGTGGCGTCCAGCCGGGAGCTCAGGACTGGACACGTCCCTGTCTCCTCCACCTCCTCCTCCCATTCCACTGATGCTGCTACACCTAGGTTTGTGCACCAGTTCGGGACTGCCCTTCTCCACGCTGCTACCAATAACAACCCCTCCTGCAGCCAGGTGAGCCTGCTTAGGGTGGGGGTGGTCAGAGCTGTCTGCACTGCCAGCACTGGAGGTGCTGCTCCCGTCCCCCACGTCTCTCATCAGCAGCCCCTGTCCTGGCACCAGCAGCAAACTATTCTGGCTGTCCATTGAGTTGTGACACCCTTCCATCCCTACACCCCCTCCGCCTCCACTCCCCCCTGTGCCTCCTCCACCCTTCTCTTCATCCAGCAGCAGGCAGAGCTCCTTCAGCTCCAGATTCTCCCGCACCACCTCCTCCTGTCGTAGCTCCAGCTCCTTGAGTTTCTGCAGGTACAGGGTCACCTCTTTGCGCATGACGCTGGCGCTGTAACGGCCAAGACGCTGCCACTCCCTGGAGACACGCTTTCCTTTCTGACGGTCATCATCTAAGAAGCAGCACAAGTCCCGCAGCTCCCGATTGTCCTCTTGCAGCTTCTGATTGATGTCCTGAGAGGGAAAAAAAGAAGAAAGGGGTTAAAACGGGCTATGAGCTGAAATTACTCGAAACAAGAAGTTACTAAAGCATGTTTCATCTCACTCAAATGCTGCATCATGCAATCATGTTGACACAGAATCCCAACCCTCTCAGTTTTTTACACAAAACTGCAGAAATAAGGCAAAGTTAGGCAACAGAAACAAGTTAGCGACATTAAGCATCCCTTCATCAACACCAAAAGAACTCCTTCTTTCCTCCCTGCAACAGTTTAACTCTCCCCTAATTCCTCCCTCTCCCTGTCAAACCCCGCAGCTCTTTTCAGTGTAATTAGGCCGCTCAGAGAGGTGGAGGTGACGAGGTCTCTGAGCGCGGGCGAGTGATCCCAGTGTGCTGCTGAGGCTACCTCAGGCAGGTCTCAGCTTTAACTGTGAACACATGTGGACGTGGTGCCACGTTAATAACAACAGCATGGGGGACTGAAAAGGAGAAAGCTGCAGCTTCACATCAAATGCTTACTGATTGAATCTAATCTCACATTTATGCCAATGAGCAGCGTAGCGGGGGTGTGGCTACCAGCACATCTTTAGTTTAGAGCTCTTTACAACCATACAGAGGTTATTTTGATAAACACACCAGAAAGACACAACTTGTTGATTTTGCTCACAGATGGAAACATCTGCTTGTGAATTCATCTCAGAGCCCAAAAAGTTGAAAGCCTTGCAGATTTGATGTTTCTTTTCACCTGGGCCTACGCAGGCACCCAAACTTCTGCAGTGTCTTATCTCACATCCTGCCTGCTCGCTTCATTTCAGAACCTCTTGTGGTGCGCGCGCGCTCAGGTGCACTCCAAACCTATGATCTCATCGTTTACCGACGCGCGCCCCCTCACCTTCAGCCCCCTGATCTCGTTTAGGTGCAGCTGGAGGCTGCGGTTGACCTCTCGGATGAGATTCCCGTGGTCCAGGATCACGCTCATCTTGTCGGCCTCGGACCGCCTCAGCCGGCGCACCAGGTCCTCTTTGGTCCACCTGAGCAGCTCATCGTCCGCGATGCCGGATATGTCCTCGGCTGGACTTTCGGTCTTCGCTATGGACAGCTGGAGCTGGGGCTGTGGCGGCGGAGTTGCCTTCTCCATTGGCACAGCGCCTCCGGCAGCGAGTAACGGCAGGAAATACTTGGAGGTGCGTTACCGGGCGCTGCTCGCATCCGCTCCCTACCGACTGAAGGGTGGAAAACCGCTATCGCTTGGAAATCAGTGGCATAGTTTGGCCTCTTTGCTGCTCCCCCCACTCTCTCCCAGAGCAACAGCTGACGATGCCGGGCTGAGTGCAACACAGGCGGACCGGAAGATGCTGGACTCTGCTCACTGCATCATCCTCAGAGCACGAGAGGCTGAGTGCTGCCGGGTGCAAGGTGTGGTCCTGGTCCAGACTCTGAATCCAAATCCAAGTGTGGGGTCCTCCAGCAGAAGCACAGCTGGCGCTTAGAGGAGAAACAGAGAGGAGATTCTTCTGGGCTCAAACAGAAACACACCGAGAGGAAGCAGCACTCCCGCTCTCTCCTCCTCTCTGCCTGCTCTCTCCCTCCAGAGGTTTACCTCCCAATAAGCAAAGAGCTCTGTCACAGCGCCACCCAACGTTATGTTTCATTCCCACGAATCCATTGTGAATATTGGAATATTTTCTGGGAAATAAAACAATAAAGAAAATGTCATGGACTGCCAAGATGTGTCAGCCTATTCCAACTAGTCTTACTCAGCTGCAAAATAAAATTAATTCTACACTTAATAATATTTGTCTAAATCAAAAGTTGTCCCACTTGCCCACATTTCACAGGCTTGTCTTTGTAGGACACTCTGACGTCAGCACCACGGACAGCGAAAATCAAGTTAAAAATGGAAAATAACTGGGATCAACTTTCACTAATGCCTGTTGGAATTTGACATTTACAACTGAATTTTTCTGAATCCAAACTACTGACACGTGTCCTGATAAAGGCTTTGCAGAGTGTATTTTCTTTTGAAATCTCAAGTTTATTTTTAACTCCAGGCTACGGTTTATGTTGTGAATTTTTACAGTTTTGCTGATTTTAAATTTGCATGTTTTGCACCTGAAAAGCCCATTTAGACTCCTCTGTGTATAAATACGCTTTATGAAAAAGACATGATTAGCTTGCCTGTATTGGCAAGCAGTCTCTGTCCACTTTCAACACCATAAAGTCCCAAATTATGATAATAATATTATTAGTAGTAGTAGCATTTGTATTATTATTATTATTATTATTATTATTATTATTATTATTATTATTATTACTATTATCATTAAGAGCCATCAAAGACACCCTGTAACTTTTTGAGACAAGGCCTATTTCTACTTTTATTGCAGGTATTTACAACAAGCCAATTACCACCGTCAGCAAATAAACAAGCAGATAAAAATAAACAAAGATTAAACCAGACTTATTATCAGGCCAACTGTACAAAACTGTTCACAGAGACGATGAAAACCCCTGGCTGAATATTTTATGCTCCCTTGCCGTTTACAACACAATAAACTCTATTTCCCAGAGGTCCGCGCTCACCTAGTTCCGCCTGACGTTCACTGTACGCTTGCGTCACGTGACGCAAGGCGGAGCCAATGGGAAAGTCCTGAACTCGTAGTAACACGTCACTCTAGTAAAGTGAAAAGCCGGCTGATAGGGAGCAGCTCGTTCACCGACGTCTTCCTCCCACTTACGCCCGTCTGGTTTCACCTTCAGATGCACTAATTCATCCTAAACACAACCGTCTCTTTAGCCGCCGTCTCGTGCCGAAGCCAGCTCGCTTTATAAGAAGGTAAGAGCTGGGTTTAGTTCAGGGGAAAGTAGGTCGCCCATTTTTAGCTTCCATTTGAGGACAGGAAGTGGGTTAATGCTACATTCCGTTAGCTAACTCAGCCCGATGCTCGCGCTGGCGTTACCTTGTCGCTAAAGCGAGACTTTGGGTGATTAATTACGATGTTTTAGCGAATATTAAAAAGAGGAATATACTATTTAACGAGAATTGCGACATTTGAGTAACTTGAGACGTGTCCCAACAGCACTGCTGCTTATCGGGGTTGATACGTGGCTCCTAGTTTGTGTTGTTGACCTGAGAGTCATCAGATTTTTGATCTGACTTGTAGCAGGGGCCTTTGTGTTCCCCTTTAAGAAATAAGAGGTTTGTTTATGACGTTAGTAGTGGTCAGCGGTTAGGATTGGTATTAAAGCAGTTTTCATTCTGCAGCAGCATCAATAGCATCGACCAACATCTGTTAACGAATCCAAATGGTCTTTATAAAACCCAGTCAGGAACCCTTTGTAGCGCAGCTTTCTGATGAACTCTGCGTTTATCTGTGTTCTGTAGTGCGACATTTGGGCTTGTGCAGTAACATATTAGGTTAAACTTAACAAGCAGCGTAAATAAGTCGCCAAGGGCTCTGGATATGTTGATTTGTGCTTCAGGGCTTTTATTGTATTTGAAATTGAGATGCTCTTTTCTGATTTTGTTTTCCTTTGACCTGCAGCTGTCACTGTTGAGCCCATATTCAATTTCAAATTCAATTCAAAAATACTTTACTAATCCCAGAGGGAAATTGATTAAAAAATTGATCCTGCCTTAATTGATCAAAAAATTGATTACATTCAGTAGAATGTATTTTTCACTATCAACTCTGAGAGGATGTTGTTTGCTGCTGCTTTAGGACGGTGTGTTCAGGGACAAAATCGACTAAACCAAATTTTTGAGTTTCAGAGTGTCAGGCAAAAGGTCATTTTCCTTTAGCTGCCGACTTTATGAGGTTTACAGTAACATTTTAATGAACTCTGTGTTATAATATATGCATAACCTGGTGTAAATGCAATGTTTTTATTAGATTTTTTAGGTTTTGACAGAAATATGTGGAGTTTAAGATCAAACCATCTGTTTTTAGGAAGAATTTGGCTCGTCTAACGTGGAACTTCAGTGGTATTGGAAATCAGAGATGACTATCAGCTGATTTTCTTCCTGCTGTCATTTTCCCATTCTATTTAAAACATTCCATTCTATAAATAGTTTTTCTCACCTCAGTTTTGTTTATTCATCTTTTTTTAAAGGGGGAGAAAAGGTCCGTGTCCCCCGTCAGAAGTGAGATTAAACTGTTTGTGCAGTTGCCTGGCGATGCTTTGCAAAAGGCGTCACTTAGGTGTAATGAGCACATACCGGCACAAGCATAGCCCGATTAAATACACCCGGCACACCCACTCATTTGTTTTAGGAATTCTCTACATCGTTCTTCCTCCTCACCAAAACCAGCCGAGCGGGTTTCCTGGCGGCGTGTTTGTGCGTCAGGCTTTCGGACATCCGCGTATTTCGTTCCCACTGAAGTGAACGGCTCACATGTATAAAGAGAGGATGTTCGCTTTAGTTGGAGAGAGAGAGAGTAGAGAGCCTGAAGAGGGACGCAGCACCGTAGCAGTTATCTGGGACACAGAAACTCCAAACTGGACTGTGGTTTTATTTATTTATTTATTTATTATTTAACCTTTTCTCTGCTGAAGATCGGTGATGTCGACGTACCAGGAGTTCATCCAACAAAACGAGGACCGAGATGGGGTGAGGTTCAGCTGGAACCTTTGGCCCTCCAGCCGCCTGGAGGCCACTAGGCTGGTGGTTCCCGTCTCCTGTCTCTTCACGCCTCTTAAGGAGAGGCCCAACCTGCCACCTGTTCAGTATGAGCCGGTTCTGTGCAGCCGGGCCACCTGCAAGGCTGTGCTCAACCCACTGTGGTGAGTTTCTCAGAGTTTTACGTGTCTATTATTAGCATAGATTTACTTTCATATTTAGCTTTTCATGCAGGAATATTGCAGCTTTCCCCCCAAATGATTTTATTTATAGTTAACGTTAAATGGACAACACAAACAAACTATAATGTATGGTTGTATAACTGCCTCAAAATCGACACAAATATTCATCATTGCCATAATACACACACATACTGTAAATGTCTGTTTAGGAACTATTTTTAGTCTTTGTTGTGGTCCTCCTGTAAGTTCAGGTGACATCTATAATAAACGGGTTCTGGAGACGGAGTCTTTTGTAGGCGAAGTGCAGAAAACGGCTGTCGGGTCCAACTTTCCTCCAAAATAATGCAACACGTCTTTTGGCACCAAGTGCTTGTTTTAAACTCATTAAAAAGATGATCTTTATATCTTTCAGTTCTTCTAAAACTGGTGATGCCGAGACTTTAGCTCTTTTGAATACTGAAGTTTAGGTACTGGGTGTGGATTATGAGGACGCACCTTTTCCACATCGCAGCAGACGATGAAACGTCTCTCTTTCTGTTTCCAGTCAGGTGGACTTCAGGGCTAAAATCTGGGCGTGCAACTTCTGCTTCCAGAGAAACCCTGTGAGTGTTTTCTGTGTGAAACGCCACCTTTATCAGTGCTGATGCGGAGGATCTGCTTTCCTTTATTAGGCTGGTTAAATCGGCTCCGTTTGTCTGTGTTTGTGCAGTTCCCGCCCTCTTATGCAGGCATATCGGAGGTGAACCAGCCAGCTGAACTCATGCCACAGTTTTCCACCATCGAGTACATAGTTCAGGTAAAGGCTTGTGCGTGTCTGCACTCTGACCTCACCCAAGCACATCATGTACTACAGTCGCAAACACAAAGAAGAAAAGTCCTGATTAGATTATTTCTTTACTCTGAAACTTCAGAATTCTGAAATAAAGTTTCACATCAAGGAAATGTTGGGTTGTTGTTCCTCAGCGCGGACCCCCGACCCCTCTGATCTTTATGTACGTCGTGGACACGTGCTTGGAAGAGGAGGATCTCCAGGCCCTCAAGGAGTCCCTCCAGATGTCGCTGAGCCTTCTGCCCCCCAACGCCCTGGTGGGCCTCATCACGTTTGGACGCATGGTTCAACTTCACGAGCTCAGCTCTGAGGGGATCGCCAAGAGCTACGTGTTCAGGGGCAACAAGGACCTCTCCTCCAAACACGTCCAGGTCGGTTCAGAGCACCAGAGCAGGAGGGAGGGCTGGAGCCGAGCAAAGCTATAAAAATCTGGGGGGTATTTTTCATTTCAGGAGTTGCTGGGACTGACAAAACCGGCTGCTGCAGGACAGCAGGGTCGCCCTGCGGCTCCTCAAGAGGCCGCTGCCTTTTGCAAGTATGGAAAAGCAAAAGTGCTCATTAATCCGGAGCGGATGCTTTGCAGCATTTTCTACGAGTTCTGTTTGATCCTCTCCAGGTTCCTGCAGCCCGTGCATCGAGTCGATATGAATCTGACGGACTTGCTGGGAGAGCTTCAGAGAGACCCCTGGCCCGTCCCTCAAGGGAAGCGCCCCCTCCGCAGCACGGGGGTGGCGCTGTCGGTCGCCGTCAGCCTGCTGGAGGTACAGCAAACACTAAAGCTAATGCTGACTTAGCCGTCTGCTGCCTTTAACTACTTCTTCACTTGAACTTTAGCCTTCTCATGATGCCACATGTTCAGAAAGTTACTCACTGCCTGATAATCACCTCCTGCTGCAGCAGTAGGTTTGCGCCGATGGTCCAAAGGCCACTTCCTGTTTGGTCTGTCCCCTCCACCACAGGTCTCCCCTCTCCCCTGCTCCTGATAATCTGGGTGGTTATGTAACTGCTAGTGTGAGGGATCACTGCCCTGCTTAGCCCCTGGGAGGTGTGCCCAGATTTCTGCTCCGTCACCGACTCCAGACCCGACGACTCGACAAACGAGTCTCACAAACAGCAGCTCTGAAGCTTCCAGCGTTAGCTAGTGTGTTTGTTCTGCTTCTGAGAAAAGTGAATGGCTCTTTAGGTAGGAGGGTCAAATTATTATTATTATCATAATTAAATCATCATCATCATTGTTATTATTATTATTTATTTTTATTTTTATTATCATTATTATCATCATCATCATTGTTATTATTATTATTATTTATTATTATTATTTATTTTTATTATCATTGTTATTTATTATTATCATCATTGTTATAATTATTTATTATTATTTATTTATTATTATTATTACTATCATCATCATCATTGTTATTATTTATTATTATCATCATTGTTATTATTATCATCATTGTTATTATTTATTATTATTATCATCATTGTTATTATTTATTATTATTATCATTATTATTCTTATTTATTATTATTATCATTGTTATTATTAGTATTATCATCATCATCATTGCTATTATTTATTATTATTATCATCATCATTGTTATTATTATTATTCATTGTTATTATTATTATCATCATCATTGTTATTTATTATTATCATTATTATTATTCTTATTTATTATTATCATTGTTATTATTATTATCATCATCATTGTTATTTATTATTATCATTATTATTATTCTTATTTATTATTATCATTGTTATTATTATAATCACCATCATTGCTATTATTTTTTATAATAATAATAATAATTATTATTATTATTATTGAAAGCTTCCTATAGAGGTGTGTATGACCCCACGGCTCATTTCCAGGCGTTTCATCGTGTTGAGGACCTCCCCAGACTCTTGTGCTTTGGAGTTTAGCTGTTTGTCCGGCTCCTTGTTTAGATGACGCTGAGGTTCGGACGTTTGGTGAACGAGTTATTTTCTGAAGATCATAAATGCTTCTTTTTTTCACTAAACTTTCTGGTTTTAAATCAACTTCATGGGAACTGAGTTTTGATTCAACACGTTGGAAATAAAAGAAACGTTTAGCTCAAACGGGAGATCTTAGGGGACAACCTAAAATCCGTTTTCTTGCTCTTTAGGGGACGTTCCCCAACACGGGAGCCCGTTTGATGCTCTTCGTCGGCGGCCCGCCCACTCACGGGCCCGGCATGGTGGTGGGAGACGAGCTGAAAACCCCCATCCGCTCTTGGCACGACATCCAGAAGGACAACGCGAGGCATCTGAAGAAAGCCACGAAGGTTTTTAAATCTAAAACCCGTTTTGTTAAAACTGTATTCGTAATCATTTCTCAGGATTTTCTGACGGGTTGATGCTTTTCTACGTTTTAGTTTTATGAAGGCTTGGCCAACCGGTCTGCCGGGAACGGCCACTGCATCGACATCTACGCCTGCGCTCTGGACCAGACGGGGCTGCTGGAGATGAAGTGCTTGTCTAATCTCACCGGGTACGCGCGCTCCGTGGGGGGTTAAGGCGTGGGCGCTGGTTTTGGGGTAAACGCGACTGAGTTTTGTCGTGTTTTGTTTTAGGGGACACATCGTGATGGGAGACTCGTTCAACACCTCCTTGTTCAAGCAAACCTTCCAGCGAGTCTTCAGTAAGGACTACAACAACGACTTCCGCATGGCGTTTGGAGGCGTCCTGGAGGTCAAGGTACAGGAACCAGTCTGTGGATTCAACTTCTAAATCCAGTTGCTATGGTGATTAGCGAGGGACGCTGTCTTTGCAGACATCAAGAGAGCTGAAGGTTTGTGGCGCCATCGGACCGTGCGTTTCACTCACCTCAAAGGATGCCTGTGTCTCCGAAAACGTGAGTTATCGCCATGGATATGACCGGGGAAGCCCAAGTGTAACCCGAGATCCGTCCACTCACCACAGTGTGTTCTCTGCTGGCAGGAGATGGGTGTTGGTGGCACCAACCAATGGAAACTCTGCGGTCTCGGTCCCTCCACCACTCTGGGCATGTACTTCGAGGTGGTGAATCAGGTAAAACACTCTTTAGATCACAGCCCTCCTGATCTCCAAGCTAGTGATGGGATTTACGGCTCTTTCATGGGAGCCGTTCATTAGTCGGTCGTTTACCTCAAAGAGCCGTTCAAAAGACTGACTCCTTTGAACAAAGTGAAGCCAACAGAGCGCGGGGGGGGTGTATCAAGAGCAACGTCTTCCTGCGGAGTCCGTGAGGGCGCACGGGGTTGGTTAGCGTTCCTCCCGAGATATGTTTATAAACACGTGTTTCTATGGTTCCTCCTACGTCCGTCACAGCGGTGGGTGGGGTTTAAGATGAACGGCTCTCTGCAGGGACTCGGCTCTCATCATTCACTTTGAAAACCCGTTCAAAAGATTCGATTCGTACGTGAACGTCACATGACTGCTCCAAGCATCCGTGGAGAGTTGGAGGATGGAGAATAGCAGCTTGTTTGTTCTCTAGAGCTCCTCCAACAAAGGCTGGTGTGTGTTCATCTTGTTGTGAAAGGCCATTTGTTTCAGAAGAGGAATAAGTGTGTGTGTGTGTGTGTGTGTGTGTGTGTGTGTGTGTGTGTGTGTGTGTGTGTGTGTGTGTGTGTGTGTGTGCAGCACAATGCGCCCGTCCCTCAGGGCGGCCGAGGGGCCATCCAGTTCGTCACCCAGTACCAGCACTCCAACACGCACAGGAGGATACGGGTCACCACCATCGCCAGGAAGTAAGCCTCTGATGTTGTCTCTGAAGGTTTCACACGAGCTCAATGTTCCAAGTGCCGAGCTGGAATGTTAACCAGCCCAGATTCCATAACAGGAAAACATTCCTGTTATGGAATCTGGGCCAATAATGTTTCAGAAGAACCTAAATAGCCCCGAAGAGAAAGGTGTGCATGCTGACGCCTTTAGAGACCTGCGTCATGACACCACGCCCGCACTCGCAGCGTAGTTCTTGTGTTGCTATTGTCCTCCAGCGTCCGCTCCCCTCGGGCCTTACCTTCTTTTTGTTTCTCCAGCTGGGCCGATGCCAACTCTCAAATTCAGCACATCGAGTCTTCGTTTGACCAAGAAGCAGCCGCGGTGCTGATGGCGCGCCTGGGAGTCTTCAGGGCGGAGTCGGAGGAGGGGCCTGACGTTCTGCGGTGGCTGGACAGACAGCTCATCCGCCTGGTGAGACAAACACACTCGGCTGGACCTGAGACCAGAGCGGTGTGGTTGTGGGAAGTTCTAGTTTTAATTCTGACTTTGTTTCCATAATTAAAACATGTTTTTGGATTTTAGTGTCAGAAGTTCGGACAGTTCAACAAAGATGATCCTACGTCCTTCCGACTGTCCGAGTCCTTGTCCCTCTACCCACAGGTAACACTGCCCTCTAGTGGTGATCTGACTGATGCGCACCAGTTTTATTGGTTTAGATTGAAGAAACGGCCTTAATTACGCGTTCTTTCTGCAATATTAGTTATGATTTCAGGAAATTCAGTTTATATTAAACTCTGTTTTATTTTTCCACTTAGTTTATGTTCCACCTGCGCCGCTCTCCTTTCCTCCAAGTGTTCAACAACAGCCCAGATGAGTCCTCCTACTACAGGCACCACTTTGTGAGGCAGGACCTGACCCAGTCCCTCATCATGATCCAGCCCATCCTGTACTCTTACTCCTTCCACGGACCACCAGAGGTCAGTCTCTCTCACACACACACACACACACACACACACACACAGACCAGAGCAGCTGAGCTCTACATAAATGAGGTGTTTTGATGCTACAGCATCATTCATGTGTTTTGTCTTTTTTTCCACAGCCTGTCCTCCTGGACAGCAGCAGCATCCTGCCAGATCGAATCCTGCTGATGGACACCTTCTTCCAGCTGGTTATCTTCCATGGAGAGGTGAGATCATTAGCATGGATGCTACGTAAAGACCTAGAAACATGTAACACTTTGAGTTTCACATGAGTGCTGAACATGGAAGTGTTCTCCAACTCTCATCTCCTGCATCAGCCGCGGAAAGGAAGTAGACTGGAAATCAGTCGGGTCAGAATAAAGCTGGTCTCCTACGTCACAAATGAAATTTGAATTCATGGCCACGCCCACTTAAGGTTGGGACCACCTATGGGAAGGAGAGCAGAGTGCGTCTGGGCTAGTAGAAGCTAACCGTTAGCATTGGCAGACACACAACATGGAGGAACAAGTTCAGGCTTGTTGTTGTGGAGATAAAATGTCAACTCTGCCTGCTTTTTGCGGATGATGTGGTCCTCCTAGCTTCATCCAGCTCTGACCTTCAGCTCTTGCTGGGTAGGTTCGCGGCCGAGTGTGAAGCGGCTGGGATGAGGATCAGCACCTCCAAATCTGAGACCATGGTTCTCGACCGGACAAGGGTGGCTTGCCAACTCCGGGTCGGGAGAGAGGTCTTACCTCAAGTGGAGGAGTTTAAGTATCCGGGGTCTTGTTCACGAGTGAGGGTAGGAGGGATCGGGAGATCGACAGGCGGATTGGTTCGGCGTCTGCAGTGATGCGGACGTTGAGCCGATCTGTCGTGGTGAAGAGGGAGCTGAGCCAGAAAGCCAGGCTCTCGATTTACCGGTCGATCTACGTCCCAATCCTCACCTATGGTCATGAGCTTTGGGTAATGACCGAAAGAACGAGATCGCGGATACAAGCGGCCGAAATGAGTTTCCTCCGTAGGGTGGCCGGGCTCAGCCTTAGAGATAGGGTGAGGAGCTCGGACATTCGGGAGGGACTCGGAGTAGAACCGCTGCTCCTCCGGATTGAAAGGAGTCAGTTGAGGTGGTTTGGGCATCTGGTCAGGATGCCTCCTGGACGCCTCCCCGGGGAGGTGTTTCGGGCATGTCCTGCCGGCAGGAGGCCCCCGGGTCGACCCAGGACACGTTGGAGAGGTTACATCTCCAATCTGGTCCGGGAACGCCTTGGGGTCCTGCCGGAGGAGCTGGTGGAGGTGGCCGGGGAGAGGACGGTCTGGAGCTTCCTAGTTGGGATGCTGCCCCCGCGACCCGGACCCGGATAAGCGGAGGAAGACAACGACTCTATATCCTGCTGTTTATGGCCCATCTCCCCTGATTAACTTCTACCTCGGACAACGGGAGTGCCAGAGCTTTTCCCCCCAAAGAAAATTACTTTCAATCATTCATTCATTCATTCATTCATTCATTCATTCATTCATAGGCTACAGCAGATTTATATAAATGAGTGAATGAGAGCTTTAAACACTTGCTTGCTTTAAAAAAGATTTCTACTTTAGGAAAATGTTTGTCAGAATAACAGCTGAAGTATTTTTTATGTGTCTTTCAGACCATCGCTCAGTGGAGGAAGGCGGGCTACCAGGAAATGGCCGAGTACGAGAACTTCAAGCAGCTTCTTCAGGCTCCTCTGGACGACGCTCAGGAGATCCTCCAAACACGCTTCCCCATGCCGCGCTACGTCGACACCGAGCACGGAGGCTCACAAGCTCGCTTCCTGCTCTCCAAGGTCAACCCGTCACAAACGCACAACAACCTCTACGCGTGGGGACAGGTACAACTTCCTGTTGCTAATCTGCTCATTTGGTTCCTTTTTTTTTCTGGTTTTGTTTTTAAAAATTCTCAAGCTGTGGGAAGAAAAGCAGTCTTGTGTAACTTCTCGTGAGACTGACTGGTCTTGGATTAGTCGACCTTTTCATTATAACTCTAAAAACAGCCTTAAGCTCTCTGTGTCCTAACCGAGGGGAGGGATGTTGTGTAAAGCGTGTTGTTGGGTGAGATTATGAACAGAACCGGATCGCCGTGGTTACGATCAGATTTATTTATAAAGCGCTTTTCAAACAAAGTGCTTTACAAAATGACCCCAGATTCCCATAACAGGTTAAAAACATTAACAGACATATGCAAGCAAACACACGCACATGCGCACACACACAAGTAAAAATTATATTTGGCTGAGTCCAGATATAAGGCAAGGAAATGTCATCAGAGGAGCCGTCCGCCCCGGCAGCATCAGGTCTTCCACACTAAGTCAGGGCGCTCAGTGGAGGGGGAGCATAGACCCCCACCTCCACTCAAACACTACCTGTAGAGCGCCCAGGAAGCTACAGTCGACCACCGCTCCCGGGGCAGAGGGCCCCTACAGAGGAAACACTGGATTAAAATGAGTAAGAATATAATAAAAGAGCTAATATAAGGGACAAAAGTTAGAAAATAAGTAATAAATATAATCATATAAAACGTGCAAAGCAAGCAATAAAATATAATCATGTAAAAGGAGAAATAGAACTGTAGTAAATATTTAGATAAAAGCTAACCTTAATAGGTGGGTCTTGAGCCTGGACTTAAAAACATGAACGTTCTCAGCGGCCCTGAGGTCCTCTGGCAGCTCGTTCCAGAGGCGAGGGCCATAACACTGGAAGGACGCCTCGCCGTGAGTGTGTGTCCTGACTTTAGGGATGACCAGGAGACGCCTGCCAGAGGAGCGCAGAGTCCGTGAGGGTTCATGTGGTAAAAGCAGTTCTGAGAGATGAGAAGGCCCAAGACCGTTAAGACACTTAAAATCCATTAGAAGAACCTTAAAATTGATCCTGAAACATACGGGGAGCCAATGCAATGATTCTAAAACCGGTGTAATGTGCTCCCACCTCCTGGTCTTCATCAGGACACGTGCTGCAGAGTTTTGTAGAAGTTGTAAGCCTGAGATGCTCTTTTTGGGAAGACCAGAAAGCAGGGCATTGCAGCAGTCTATCCTACTGGTGATAAAAGCACGCATCAGCATCTCCGTATTGGCCCGAGAGAGAATGGGGCGGACTCTGGCAATGTTGTTTAGATGATAAAAACCTATTTTTGTGATATTTTTAATGTGTGGGATAAAAGTCAGCTCAGAGTCAAATCACACCCAGGTTCTTCACTTGTTCAGATGGATCAAAAGAGAGATTGTAATTTCGGTAAAAGCTTCTCTCTCTGGGCCTCAGGACCATTGACTAAAACTTGAGCTGGTTGAGCTGGAGAAAGTTCTCTGCCGTCCAGGATTTGACGTCTAAAGTACAGTTAAAAAGTGCATCCATTGACCGAGAGTCATCAGGAGACACGGAGATGTACAACTGTGTATCATCAGCATAACTGTGAAATGTCTGTAATCGCTGAACCGTTCTACTTCTGCGTTCTCTCGCCGTAGGAGAGCGGGGCCCCCATCCTGACCGACGACGTCAGCCTACAAGTCTTCATGGATCATCTGAAGAAACTGGCTGTTTCCAGCTCCACGTAGACGCCTGCTTGGAAAAATCTAGAACCTTCTGGGATCCAACAACATTTCCCACATTTTTGTATTTAAAAAGGCCAAATTTCACTGTCTGTGTGTGCTAGATCCATTTTACTGTTTCGTGGTATAAAAACGGTGGGGGGGGAGGGGGAGTTACTACATTCCTGGAAACAAAACCTCGTTTTCTCATTTTCATAAAGTTTAAATAAATATAAAATGGCTCCTATTCTGCTGAATCAGACGACTGCATGTAAGCAGTAAGAGTTCCTCATCTGTTTTAATGTTAGTTATCCCCTCCGGCGTTGGCGTGATGAGACTAAAACCAACAGTCTCCAACCCGCCGGGCTGGATCAAAGCTGCTGTGAAAAAAGATGCTTGTATTCGTGCTCGCTTTGTCTATAGCTAAATATGTAATGTTTAGAGTTTTTCACATTAATAAATTATATTATCTTAACGTGTGCATAAGGCTAATCGGGCTTGATGCTGGCTAATCTGTTTGACAAAGACATGAATGGTTCCTTCGTGGATTTAGACTTCCAAGGAGTTCTAGTCGATGGCATCGGCTCGGCTTGGTCCGTTTTTGGTCAGTTTTTAACTTATGGGCTGTCCCGTGGATTTTCTGGACTTGCTGACCATCTGGTATGTTTGCACTCGATGAAAGCCCAAGTGTCTTTGTGATCCAGCGTTGTAAAAAGGGAGAGTTGTCTGGATTCCTCATGCCAGCCATATAAAAGCCTTCCAGCAAGACTCTGTGTGTTCTACTTTCATTCACAGACAACGAGGGGTGTGCAACTGATCAAGCTGGTGTTTTACGTTAGACTTTGGACTCTGATAATTACAGGAAAAGTCGCCTGCTGGTCCGAATGTCAGAAACTTCCCTTCCTGAAGCATCGAGCATCTGTTGGTCCTTTTAAAAACTTGCAACTAACGTTAGAAATGTAAAACAGATGGGCGGTGACGTACTTTTAGTTCCATTTTGTTTCGCTGCCTAAAACATTAGTGAAGAAAAAGCAAGTAAGTGCTGCGACTGAAGTAAAACTGTCAAGAAAATAAAGTTTCAGTCAAGACTTGCTTTTTCTGATGATTGTAATAAGCGTCAATCCTTTGTTAGGAGTGTGTAGAAGAAGAAAATACCATTTCTATAGCACCTCAAGATCAAAATCGCGAAGAAAAAATGTAAATGTAGAAAATGATTAGAAATATATTTAAAATAAGCAAAAATAGACAATTTTGATTAAAAATGTAAAAGAGAGTGAATAGGAAAGAGGGAAATCAGTGGATCCTGAGGAAGGTGGAATAGGTGGGGAGAGCAGAACAAGGAGAGGGTGATGAAGGTCACACCAAACCTGAGCAGGTGAGTTTAAAGGAGTCCACTGATCTCAGGCTCGAGGAGAGAGGTCCAGAGTCTAGGGGCCACAGCAGCAGATGATCTGTCACCTGAACTTTACCCTGGTGCTGCACAACCAGTAGGCTTTGGTCACTGGACCTCAGGGACCTGCTGGGGGTGTAGGGACTAAGAAGATCACCAATGTAAGATGGTGCTTGTCCATGTAAGGCCCTATAGACCAGAACCAGGATCTTGAAATGAACCCTGAAGTTGACTGGCAGCCAGTGAAGCTGGAGGAGAAGCGGGGTGATGTGGGTGTGTTTGGAGGACTTGGTCAGAAGCCGAGCACAGGCGTTCTGAACCACCTGTAGACGGTTCAGGGAGGTTCTGCTCAGACACGTGAAAAGAGAGTTACAGTAGTCTAAGCGTGAGGAGATGAAGGTGTGGAGAACTGTCTCAAGTTCAGAGCGGGACAGAATGGGACTCAGCTTAGCAACGTTCCTGAGATGGAAGAAGGAAGAGCGAACAAGAGAACTGACATGAGAATCCAGGGTGAGAGCTGGGTCAAAGGTCATGCCAAGATTCCTGACAGAAGGTTTGGTGTGAGAAGCAAGCTGACCAAGAGAGTCTCTGACTTTGGGAACCAGCTTGTCTGGGGCACAGATGAGGATCTCAGTCTGATCTTCATTCAGCTGTAGAAAGATCCCAGCCATCCAGGTTTTGATAGAGTCTAAGCAGGTGTGTAACAGCTGCAGCTTAGACATCTCATGGGGCTTAAAGGAGATGTACAGTTGGATGTCATCTGCATAAAGATGGTAGGAGATTCCTTTAAAGGAGCTCAGGATGTGCTGAAGAGGAAGCAGAGGAGGAAGAGCAGAAACCCCAGCACAGAACCTTGTGGGACACCATGGGTGTAATAAGACAGACTCTTATTGTGAAGGGCTGAAGGAAGTTCTAAGGGCACTGCCACAGATCATTAAAATGACTTATTTATAGTTATAAATGTCACTGGGATATTCTGAAGAAAAAAGCTTGGCTTTTCTCTGGATAGTTTTAGGAGTTTCATCCTCTTTCACTAAAACTCTTTAATGCAAAACTTAAAAGGTCGTAAGGGTTAATCACCACCAAACAACACAACAGTAAAAATGGTGAGAAACGCTGGCAGCGAATGAGTTAGTGATTCGACAAACGAGTCCACACTGAGCAGCTGTTTCTAGCGGCGGCTCAGCACCAGAAGGTTCTAGATGACGAGTCAGACAGAAAGTTAACTCATTCACTGCCAGCCGTTTCCTGATCAGTAAAGCCCTTCGCTGCCAGCGTTTTGCAGTGTTTTTACTGTTTTTTTTAAGAGTGACAGAACGTTGCGCACTAGGATGATGTCGACGCCAAAACAACCAAAACAAAGCAGAGACTCACCTCTTACATCAGGAATAATCTGCGCGTTTCGAGCGTTATCCGTTTTTTCATAATCCGTTGTTGAATTGTAATCGGCAGAAGCTTTTCACGTTTGCGTCTCACTTATTTTACAGCAGCGACCCAAAACGATCTCCTAACACATGGATGTTCTGCTTCCTGATCACGTGATGTGTGACGTATGCGGAAGAAGACCAGCTTTAGAGCTGAGATGTTTGTTCTCATGGTGCGGGGGCTCGTCCGACGCCCACACAGTAAAAAAATGCAAATGACGACTTTAGTCATTTGATCAGAAATAGAATTGTGGACTGCATTGCTAGCTTAACGTTAGGCTTTAGCCTACGTTACGTGATATTAGAGTAAAACAAAAATAATTTAACTTTTTCTTTCTTCTGCTTCTGGGCCGCTCCTTTTACTGGATTCCACTCTGTCCACAAGACAGTAAAGTCAAATTACAAATGCCGGTGCAAACTTGGCAACCTTGAGGGCCTACATATGATTGGCTCTTTAACCAGGAAGTATGGAGGCGGGAAAGATTATTTGTCAATAGGGCTTGTGATCGTGATGTCATCACTGACGCGGCCTACAAGTCTTTACTTGTTGCTTGTTACTAAATGACCCGCACTTGTATAGCGCCTCTCACAGTACGGACTCCAAAGCGCTTTACACTACAGTGTATCATTCATCCATTCACACACTGGTGGTGATGAGCTAATACTTTAAACAGCGCGCTCAGTCTCGTTCTTGCAGCTTAATTCAATCTATTATTTGTTTGATTGTTTATAATACGCAACCTTGGTAAACCGTTGCTGTGTTGTGAGGTGCAACACGTGATCGCCAGGGCAATAAAGGTGGAAAACGAGCTAACTTTTCATTCTTGGGGGCAAAACCACGGAGCTCAAGTGTCTAACATAACAAAGTCTCGGGGGCTCGCTCAGATCGCTGCTGTAAGGTGACCAAACATCACCTTCCAGAGTATTTTCATTCTGGTAAGTTGCAGATGTTGTACGTTTTTTATACACCGTTTCTTTCCTTCAACCGTCACACACACACACTGACACACAACACAACTTCTCCTGCTACACTTCTTCTATGGGATGACAGTTCTGGTTGTTTTACTAGAAAAACCAACGTATGAAAAGTTGTCGCCTGTGCTCCAGTCTTGAGTCTTTCATATGGATCCGAACCATAATGTTGATTTTGTCCACATACTGGTTTCCAGCGTCTTTATTTAACATCTCCTCATGTATTCTGCATTCTTTTCAGGATTTTAACACGTTGCTTAACACCTCCTTTCTCCTAAATCTGCTTCTTTTCTGAGACGTGCAGATGTGTGTTTTCACGGTTTCTTTACTCTCGTAAGGCCATCAACATGTCTGCGTACATCCCAGAATGCAACGCATAAACACATGTGATCCCGAGCTAGGGCTGCAAAAACGAATCGATAAATTCGATGAAAATCGATTACTAAAAGCGTTGGCAACGAATTGCGTCATCGATTCGTTGTGTCGCACAACTCTTCCAAAAGCGCCCCCCCCCCCCCCCCTTCCCGCCCGCCGTTGCGCGCAGACCAGAGCAAGTCAGATCAGCGCGAGGGAGAGCCGCAGATCAGCGCGAGGGAGAGCCGGCAGATCAGCGCGAGGGACAGCCAGCAGATCAGCGCGAGGGAGAGCCGGCAGACTTGCGCTGCTGCGAACCGGTTCCGCATTGTTTTGCAGCGATCCAGGCAGCTGCTTCCAGCGCACGGTCCATTCTCAAAGTGGCGCAACCAAAAAACTATAATTAGCACACGATCGTTCATGTCCGCACATGTTCTCTATTTTCTGTCTTATTTGTGCCTGAAGCACGCTACTGCGGAGCTCATCACCTGTGCTGTGGTGATGTCACCTTATGCAGCATCGAAAACACGCTCTGAGCTTTTCGGTCAGGAGATCCCTTTGATCTGCTCAAAAGTAACTGATGAGGTGAAAAGGTAAGAATCCAGGCAACAGATTTTCTGGAGGATTAAGAGGAGATGCAGGAAGATGAGAGACAGACCAGACAGGAAAATAGTTAAATAAAAACAAGAAAACAAAACGAAGTGTTGAAAAGTAAAATGTAGGTAGATTTATCTCCACTACACGTTTTTACCAGTTAAAAACAATAAGTTACACACATGTTATATTTATACATCTGATCTGGGACGTAATTTTGGGGGGGGACGGGTGGGACATGTCCCCCCCACTTTTTCAAAAGGCAGTTTTGGTCCCCTGCACTTTTTTCCGTCCAAAAACAATATTACGCTCCATTAAATGGATTTGGTTGAGCACTAGGACCGAAACGGAAACCGGTTTACTATTAGACCCGCCCAAAAGCTAATCTATTGGCTCTGCTGATACTTGCTAACGTATTATTGGCTGTTGCTGCTGTCACTCAAGTTGTAAACAGTCAGAACGTGCTCACGTTGTTTTGCTAGTTTGGAGCCGCTAGGGAACACCGGTACTGAGTCACATCGTCAACTAGACGCTGTGTAATATCAGAGCTCATCTCAGCTTCCACTACATAACATTTGAATAAGTGTTCATTTGTGAGTCTTTGGTAGTTAGGCACAGCCAGGAGGCAGCATGTCAAGAAAACGAAAAGTGGATATAAGAGATTTCTTTCAAAGTCAAAACGTAAGTTGGAACATGTGACACCCCTGCATTAAGCTCAGACTCACCTCCTCCTTCACACACATACTCAAAACTAACTTTTACAAACTCATCTCCTCCACATAACTGACTCCTCAGACACAATTCATTCGTATTATTATAATTATTTTTATTATTATTACTATTATCATCATAATTATTATTACTAGTAGTAGTAGTAGTAGAAGTGTAACTTCAAATCTTTTATCATTTAACTTTATTGTAAACTTATCTATTGCAATGTATTTGTTCACATTAAAAAGCTCTGAAAAATGAACAGTATCATCATCGTCAACAGATTTTTTTTAAGCTTAATGTCAAAGATGTACACTTTTCAT